TCATATTTCTTGCTCTTGGTTGTGTTGGCCTTACTTGAAATGTGATTCTTTTGTTGGGTTTTGGAGAAAGGTAGGTTTGAACCCTTCTCAAGCTTCTTCACCATGTTATCACGGTTATCTTGAGAAGGTTGTGCTTTCTCCTTACCCTTCAACCGAATCACATCTTTCTTTAATCTTTTCACCTCTTATTTGAGCTCTATGTTTTCTATGAGATTTAGCTCAATCGAGGATTGGCTTGCTTGAGGAGCACACTCATTAGTACAAGAAACATTTAATTGAGATGGTGTACTAGTGAGTGAATGTGTGAGAGGTTGAGAGGATTTTATCGATGTGATCACAACCTCATGTGCTACCTCAAGCATAATGCTTGATTCTACTAATTCTTTATGAGAACACTTTAGATGAACATAATTAGCTTGTAGCACATTGTACTTTCTTGATAGTTCATCTAGCCTTGCCTTGAGCTCAAAGTTTTCCTTCTCTAGCTGTGAAACACTAGAAGAGAAGTTAGTAACTAAAGCATGCTCAATTGACAATTTTTCATACCTTCCATTTAGAGCCTTTAGTTCTTCCATCTTAGAGATGAGAAACAATTCTTGCTTTTGAAGTGATTGCTCTTGCTTCTCAATCTCTTCTTCAAGCTCATCATTCTTTTCAACTATCTTCATGATCATGAACTTGTCTTTGCGGTTGAGATGATCAAGGTTGTAGTTATCTTCAACTTCAACGTCACTCTCATCTTGATCATCTACTTGTGCTTTCACCTTCTCTTGATCTTTCTTGTTACTCTTCTTCTTACTTTTCTTGGCCATGAGACACAAGTGATGAGTATCATGAGTTACTGAGGTTGACTCATCACTTGGTCGCCACCGGGCTTGAGCATCGTTGCAAACAGTTGCTTGCTGCTCTGCTGCCTCGGCCATACCGGACACGTCCGGTAGTAATACCGGACATGTCCGGTACGTGTAGGCAGACAGCAGGTCATGCGCTGCTTGCACTTCTTGCTCCAGCTCGGCGCTCTTGAGGTCTTGTGAGGCTTCTTCGTTGTATGATGACACAATAGACATACTTTCCATTGACTCGATCTCAAGTGCATCATCACATTTGGATTTTCCATATAAATCAAAAAGTCTAGTCCAAATGAGATGAGCACTCTCCGGAGGTGGTTGTCCATTGAAGATTGCCTCATCTTGAACCTCTACACTCAATGTACTCAAAATGATATTAATAGCTTGAGCATTGAGTTGCACGCATATCTCTTCCTCTTTTGATAAATTCTTATAGTTCCTCCAATTAACTATAGGAAGGGGTATGCTTGCAAACATAATATGCTCAACAATAGGACTAATATGTCTAAAAGCATTGAATACATGAATTGACCAAGATAGAAAGTTTGAACCATCATTTTGGAGAAGCACCGGCTCCAACTCGACAGGCGTCGACATCCTTTTCTCACGGCGGTGAAGCTTTAGGTGAGAACCTTGCTCTGATACCAATTGAAAGGACCTAGGATGCCGCCTAGAGGGGGGGTGAATAGGCGTTTTTGAAAATTAAGACCTTTAAATACGGAAACGATTAGTAAAGAGAGTTCCCAAAATGGAAACTCCAAATAAAGAGTAGTACCTCCCCTCACAAGTTAGCCACAGAGAATATAAAAGATACTAAATGAATCTAGGAGCCAAACGCCTGTAACCAAAGAGTTAGAACACAATACAATTCAGTTTGGCGCAGGGGCTAATACCGGACGTGTCCGGTATTCACGACTTCAGTGGAACAGCCCCGAACTTGCTCCTTTTGATTTCTATCTTCAATCCAAACTGCAGAAAACTATTAGAGATAGTAATATACATAGAGAACCTGCAGAATAGCTAGAGCAACACAAATATCAAATGAAATAAGAATTGAGACACGATATTTGTTTTATCGAAGTTCGGACTCGTTCGAGTCCTACTCTATGTTGAGGGGGCTACGGGTGACCCAGCGAAGGTCAGCCCTAGAGGGTACCACGAAGGTCACTCTAGCCGGAGTCTTTTCCAACTCCTTTTCCTCCTTCCACTAAATGATTCTGAGGCGGCGGAATCGACCGTTACAAACTTTCCGAAGCAACCACAATCTCTCGGTTGCTCTCCGGCGACGCCTAGCCGTCTAGGACCGAAGAGTCCAAGAGTAACAAATGCGAATCACGAGATTGACAATATGCACAAGTGCTCAAGTTGTGGCTTGCTCTCTTTTTCAAATTCTCTCTTAACCCACAAATTGATTTTACAATTTGGATCACACACTCATTAAGAGAGGGTTTAGAAGAGTTGGCAAGGCTCAAAAACGTGTGTCTATCTCAGCAGAATCAGCCGCCTCCAAAGGTGGAGGCTTGGGGGTATTTATAGCCCCCTTGAAAAACTAGCCGTTTTATAGCCGTTGCAATACCGGACACGTCCGGTATGCATACCGACTTACACTACCCCAACGGTAACTAAGTTACAATGAAGTTGTGAGGCGTTGGAACTCCCGATGAATGCCGGAACTCCCGACTCACGTCTGAACTCCCGATCCTCCGCAAATTCGAAAACCATGTAACTGAGTTAAAGAATATGAGGTGCCGGAACTCCCGACATATGCCGAAACTTCCGACCGTCGAAACTCCCGACTCACGTCGGAACTCCCGACCCTCGAGACTTTGGAAAACTAGCCGTTGGCCTCTGGTCGTCCATACCGGACACGTCCGGTATGACCAGGACAGTGAACCCTCCAAGACAGATAAAGTGAGAGACGTCGGAACTCCCGACCCTTGCCGGAACTCCCGACCGTCGGAACTCCCGACGAACCAACCTGAGAACAACATTTTTACAGTTACTGGGCAAATACCGGACACGTTCGGTATGAATACCAGACACGTCCGGTAAGGCCAGACCAGCAACAAGTCAGTTAGCCTTTTTGACTCTCAACCACTCAAATCTCACATGGGTTGGCTTGAGCACTTATGAAACATTATCTATCAACATGATGCATCCCTCTTAATAGTACGGCATACCTATTAAACTCAAGATCAAAGGAAAAATGGATTTATACCACTTGAGTTGATCTCTTTTAAATTGATGCCGTGTCTTTCAATCTTCATCAAGTAAGGGTGCTAACATGTTGATATTGATCTTTTCACTTGAGCATAGCCATCTTGAGCACATGACTTGATTCCATTCATCAAATTTGAATAATCCCAAATGTATCAAGTCACTTCCATCAAACAATCCAATAGTGATTTGATCCTCCACATGAACATGGACATCATAGCTTGATTAGTACCTCAACTAAATACAAGTACTTTCTTCTTCACCCTAGCTAGGTTCTTCGGCCGCCAAGCCGTCGCTTGCCCTTCACCCTTGCTTAGTACCTCGAAGCCTTTCCTTGCTATCTTCACCATCTCAAGCCATCAAGTCACTTCTTGTATTGAATCATCCATTCATTTGTATTGTTACCTTTTTCATTTCAATTTAGTAAGCTTCAAGTATGAGACCATTCCATATGCAATTTCTCATGTCTCATTAATTAATTCTCACGAGCTTACTTTCACATAGCAAATGGAAATCCCACAATAAATGAGCCTTTGCATGAATAACATTTGCATTGTTATCTTGTGCTTGAACTAGATTGTTTATACAACAATACATCATTTTGGCTTTCATTAAGTACTCATGAGATAACCTATAACCTATCCACACTTAGCAAACGGGTTAGACCTTTAATCACGTTGTCATTCAATCATCCAAAACCCACTAAAGGGCTAGATGCACTTTCACCTTCATAAAAAAAGAAATAAACTTTAGACTTAAAAAATAAAGAACGTGGTCTCAGATTTGGATTGTGCCGGTATTTAAAAAGGTGTGTAAAACAAAAAATAAAGAAAAACCAAAAACCAAAAAGACCAAAAGCAAGAAACTTATTTTCGTTCAATAGTATAGTAACATAAGATAAGAAGTGATGGAATCTTGTACCCATACTTACACCTACACATAGATTTTTGAGTTAAATGCATCGTATATCCACGAACTTGTTAGGGATGCTAGATTAGTTTATAAACTTTAAAATTACATTTTTGGCACACTGATCTTGATATTTCATTCATTGCAGATGCATATTGCTCTCTGAGCTGATTTGGACTGATGTGGCGTGTGTAAGGCCCCACGATCGTCACACGCCGATCACGTAAGTGGGGTTCAGCCACGTTGGACACGTCATGTCGGCCTAGATCAGCTTACAGGGCAGCATGGCAGATCTAGAGTGAACAAAATATCTAGATGGTATGTTAGAAATGTATTTTCAAGGCTTGATCTATTCAGCATCTTTTAATAAGTTTGTGGACATACGATGCGTTTAACCCTAGAATTTGTATCATATTCGTCGGTTACGCTACCTTGGGTACCTGTATTCGTAGATAGGGTTGGACCGTAACCGAAACCGAAGAACGGTTTCTTTCTTGGTTCCCTATATCAAAGAACCGAAAAACCTAATAAAGTTTGGTTCCTACTGTCAGTTGACCAAATTAATGGAAGAACCAAAATATACGAATTGTACTTCACTTACTTGCATTTTATAAGATTATGTTTGTGTGATCTCATATTTGAATTTCTATGTACTTGTGTTAGTACTATACGTATATTGCTATTGTTTCGTTATTAATTATTATTATTTAAAATAGAGATAGATTCAACTGAAATAACTCACAACCGAAATGTTTTGGTTACTCCTTCTGTTTTAAATTATAATTTGTTTTGATTTTTTAGTAGATCTATTTTGCTGTGCATCTAAATAGAATGTACGTAGTAAAATAGATGTAACAAGGAAAAATCAAAGCGACTTTATAATTTGAAAGGAGGAAGTAGATTTTTTTTTTAAAAAACGATCGTTCCATTTTCTAGAAACCAAACTTCGCCAGGTAGCATTGCACATTTGCAGTCCTTAAAGAACGGACTCCACGGCAAAGGGATGCCGCGCAGCCAGCTTCGGCGATGCCATCGATCTCACCGGCAGATTTACTTGCCTGCTCAGGTCGGTGCTCCACGGAGCGCGACCTCCGGCTCCTCCATGCCGCTCTCCTCCGTCGCCGCCACATACTTCCGACGGTCGATGCCGTCGCGGTGCTCGCCAAGCTCCTCCGCTTCGCCGCGGTGTCTCCCGCCGGCGACCTCCGCCACGCCTCCGTGCTCCTCTCTCTCCACCTCCCGTTCATCTCAGCCGCCGCTTCCCACCTCGCCTTTTTCTACAACACCCTCATTCGCGGCCTCGCTGTCTCCTCATTGCCCAGCGCTGGCATCGAGCTCTTCACCGCGATGCGCCGCGCGGGCGCCGCTCCCGACGCCTTCACCTTCACCTTCGTCCTCAAGTCTTGCTCCCGCTGCCATTCGCCTGGTCGGTTGCCTTCTGACCTCCACGCTCAGGCGTTCAAGCACGGTTGCCTCGGCGCGCGGAGCGAGCACGCTCATGTTCAGAATGCTTTGCTGCACGCGTACGCGTCTCGGTCCGCCGTCGACGACGCCCGCAGGGTGTTCGACGAAATGCCCGCCCGGGATGTAGTCTCCTTCTCGGGGCTACTTACGGCACACCTCAGAACCAACCATCTGGACTCCGCGCGCATGGTGTTCGACCAGATGCCACACCGTGATGTTGTTTCCTGGACTGCCATGATCTCTGCCTATGCCAGGGCTTCGCGTCCACAGGACGCCCTGGCATTGTTTGATGCAATGCCAGTGCAACCAGACGAGGTGACCATGGTAAGTGTGGTGTCGGCATGCACTGCACTTGGGGACCTTGCGACTGGGGAGCGTCTGCGTCATTATGTTGATTCCAATGATTTTGGGTGGATGGTTTCACTCCGCAATGCACTCATGGACATGTATGCTAAGTGTGGGTGCCTACCTGAAGCACGTGCTTTGTTTGATGGGATGGCAATAAGGAGCTTGGCATCTTGGAATACACTTATCTCAGCATATGCATCACATGGTGATGAGGAAAGCACAATTGCTTTGTTTCATCAAATGCTGGCTCATGACAATTTTGTGAAGCCAGATGGGGTGACGCTGCTTGCAGTGCTCACCATGTATGCACACAAGGGCTGTGTTGAGGAGGGACGCACTGTGTTTGATGCGATGCAAAGAGGAGATTATGGCAAAGTGGAGCTGACCATGGAGCACTATGGGTGCATGGTGGACTTGCTTAGTCGGGCAGGACAACTTGAGGAAGCTTACAAGATGATAGAGCAAATGTCGATTCCAAGCAATGATGTGGTCTGGGGTGTGTTACTTGGTGCATGCCGTATGCACGGCAATATTGACATGGCAGAGAAGGCAGTCCAAAAACTAAGGATCCTAAACCCACACGAGGGTGGTTACTACATTTTGCTCATAGATATGTACACAGCCGCTGGCCGAACAGCAGAAGCCATGGAGGTTAGACGGACCATGAATAAGGCCGGGGCCAAGAAAACTACAGGCTGGAGCTGCCCGACTACTGTCTGTCTTCCTCAACAGTAATTCTCCAAGGCCTATCAGTTTTCACTTGACACCAGAGAGGGTTGGTTACATGTGTCTCTGCCTTCCTACTGATGTTGTGATGACTAGTCATTAGTTCTCCCTTTCAGTGATGGTTACACTGAATGATCTGGCGACAGGTAAAAATGCAAAAATGCACCATAGTCAAATCCTGTCATTATGAATGCTTCTTACAGACAGTCCAAGTCTATAGCTATCACTAGTATTGTTTATGTGGTATCCTGCTGCACATCAACAAGGAAAATACAAAGCGGTCATGTATGGAGCCATTGGTGGCACTGAACCTTGAAGGGATCAGACTTCATAGAGTATTTGAAGGATTAGGCAAGATGGTCAGAGCCTATAGCTATCACTTGTATTATTTATGTGGTATCCTGCACATCAACAAGGAAAATACAAAGCAGTCATGTGTGGAGCCTTGTCAGCACCGAACCTTGAAGGATCAGACTTCATAGAGTATTTGAAGGATTAGGCTTCGTAAAAAACAAATCCTTCCAACATTTGTACTGGACAAAATATTCGAACAATAAAAAACTTGGAAGAAAATAAGGAGCAATGGGGGATAGGAGGGTTCTACTTGTTGTGTCTCCTGAGGTAGCAATCTTTGGTTACGATGGAGTTGTCTCATTTGCAAGTGTTCACGATGCCGTGGATGCTGTTCCACTGAACAACGAAGTGTGCACCATCATCAGGATTGGTCCTGGTGTGCATCGGCAGCCAGTGCACATTCCCAAGACCAAGAACTTCATCACCTTGTGTGGATCCCCAATAAAGGACACAGTGATCTGTTGGGACAACACGACTACTCGCATCAAGCATACTCAGGTAGTGTCACTTCCGGCTGGCCTCCTGCTTGAATAGATAGTCTGTCATGTATGTGCTATCCCTAGTGAAATTACAAGTGCCTGGTAAAGATTCACTTAACAGGGATCGCTATTAGTTAGATATGTAACAATGATGTCATTTTGATGTGAAAATATTGTTTGTCAAGGTGAGTGCATTTTGCATTGATCAGGTACAATAAGTTGAGGTTATTCTACCCCTTGTGAAAGCAGTTTCATTGTTTGTTATGGGAATCAATACATTGGTGGCTTTTGAGTATTATAACTTTTTCCCACCCCGGTAACGAATTAGTGAATTATTTTTCCTAGATGTCCTTAAATTTGAAGTCTTGTTCATTAAGAGGAAGCCACTAGCAATGACATTTATCTTCTTAAAAGAGCAACAATGTGTATTTCAGTTCTGTTAATCTGAACCAATGTGTATCCGAAATGATAAGCCTGATTGGAATTACTCTGGCTGTTCCTCCACCATAATCGGATGCAATCATGTAAAGTTCTTGTATTATTATTTTCTCTTTTTGCATTTTCTGAATACTCCTCACATATTCCATATCTGTTCTCTTACCAGTCATCACAAGAGATTGGCACAGGAACACTAAACAGTGCTACAGTTATTGTGGAGGGGGATGATTTCATTGCTGAGAATGTTATTTTTAAGAACTCAGCTCCCCAGGTATTATCCTAGCAGACTTGTTTATGTGGCACCTCTGGTGGATCTGGTTAGTCAGTGATATGTACTGCTGTGTTATAGATGTCTGGGCAAGCAGCAGCAGTCCGTGTGATGGCCAACAGGTGTGCCTTCTATGGTTGCAGATTTCTCGGGTGGCAGGTACTTGGCTCTATCAGCTCATTATTTGTGGTTTCCTTTTTTTTTTGGGTTAGCTCTTTTGCACTCTAGCTCTAGGTGCCTCATCACATTGTGCTGTTTATTCGATGTTTGCTTCTTCAGAAAAATGGTCTTACATGAATTTCCTGTTACTGGAAATTGGATCTTTTGGATCTACTTTTGATTTGCCTCATAATGTAATCGTCTAATACATCATTTAATGGCAGAAAGGTACATATATGTAATTGTGTAACCATTTAGCTTTAGCTTGGGGCTTTGGTTAACCGGGTTTGTTAGGTTGACTTGTCAGTCTGTCACCTCTGGTGGTAGCTTAGTGGAATACACATTATAATACTGTAGCGTGCTTATTGTGCAGAAGAATATCATGTTTCATGGGGGTTGATGTCTTTTGGTGCCAAGTTGTATGGAGATATAAACATAGCTGTCATTATTTAGTTTTATATTGTTTTTTTACTTTCAGGTATTCTAATTTGCCTTGCAAAATCATTCAGGAAACTTTACATTTGCATGGTGGAAAGCAGTTCTTGAAAAACTGTTACATTGAAGGTAATTACGATTTTATCTTTGGAGATTCTACTGCCCTTCTGGAGCATTGCCATATCCACTGCAAAGCAGCAGGATATATTACTGCTGATGGCCGCAAATCCTCTTCAGAAGCAACTGGATTTGTATTCTTCAAGTGAGTTCACTACTCTCCAGTGTTCTCACTTCTAAAGTAGACTTGGTTATTAGAGACAAGAGTTAGCCTATGAGTCAATCTTCCAAACTGTGTTTACCATTTCCTTTTACTTCTTACTACGAGCTTACGTGCCAAATGACATGGCACCATCCAGGTGTGTTATTACTGGTAATGGAGAAGCTGCATACATGTACCTAGGTCGGCCCTGGGAGGCCTTCGGGAGGGTTGTTTTTGCAGAAACTTTTATGGATCACTGCATAGAGCCTGTTGGGTGGCATAATTGGGACAAACCTGAGAATGAGCAAACTGCCTGCTTCTACGTGTACAGGTCTCAGCCTTGTCCTTCTGTTTCTCATTGTTCCTGAACACGAGTGTTACTTGAACTTCAAAATGACGATATCCTTTTATGTTTACTGGTTGATCATTCCTTTTCTCTTCTACTAGCTCTTCTTGGCTACTCATGACGAGGTGACTTGGTGCTGAATAGGCATGTTTAGTAATTGGTATTGACACCTGTCATTGGCATTCTTCACAGGTGCTCCGGTCCAGGATCCAGCATATCGGAATGGGTACCTTGGTGCAAAGAATTGTTTGGTGATGAAGCTATACCGTTCCTTATACAAACTTTCATTGATCCAGATATCGAGAATCCATGGTTGGTCCACAGTTTGGGAATTCAAGTCCCAGTTTCAGCGTCTTCACCGTAGCATATAATAGCTTATAAAGGGGATGTAACGAGAGCTGAGCAGTATGCAGTATGCTGTATGCACTGGAATCATGTCTATAGAGTAGGAGTACGAAGAAACTGTCTTTGTTAGACTGTTGTGAAATCTGAACTACATGTTGATCAAGGACTGATGGATCATACATAATACAGAATCCTCATGGAATGGGACCAACTTCCTTGTCTCTTGAATAAGCTGCTATGGTGAACTGTCAGTGCAAGCCTGGTGCCTCCTTTCTGGAGCGACACTACAGTCTGCAGACTGCAGGGACTCCAGCCTATCTTGGCAGGAATCCGTGCTGTGAGACCGGAACCTCGAACGCCATCATCTTGTCGCCTCGAGCAAAGCCGTTGCGGTCGTAGGAGACCTCGGAGATGCCCAGCTCGTTGCACACCCTGACGAGCTCCTCCCCGACCCTCCGGGCTGCCTCCTGTCCGGGGCGAGCCGGCGAGGCAAGCTGAACTTAAAATTTCCACCGGAGCACAATGCAAATTTCAGACGGAGAAGACGATGACTGCTTACCACGGTGCCGCAGGGCGGGTCGCCGCAGATGGACTTCTGCAGCGTGCTGCCGTAGAAGAGGATCTTCTTGTTGTGGTCGTCGGCGAGCACGGCGTAGAGCTGCCGGTTGGAGCAGAACACCGAGAGCCTGGGCTTCGTCGCCGTGCCGTTGAACTGCAGCCAGCGAGCGTCGGCGGAACGGCGGTTTGGTTATATCCTGCTGGCCTTATCCTGAAATTCGAAAACCCAGGTGGAGCATCGGAACGTACCTTCTTCTGCAGCCGACGGTTCCTGACCTTGGCGCTCTCCGTGCGCGCGCCTCGCCTCGCCGTCGCCTCGATCCTGGGGTACGCGCGCCGGGGCGCGCCGACGCCTGCACGCGTCAGACAGAGATAAGAGCGCGCGCGGGCGTCGCCGAGCTAGCGAGCGGAGAACAGCGTGTCTGCGGTGGCTCTGCTCACCTGGATGTGGCGGAAGCGAGAAGTCAAGGCTAAGCCCGGATCCTGTCAGCGAGGTCGGAGGGTGGCGGACCGGGAGCGCGGGGCGCGGCGAGAACGGCTGGGCTAGCGCGGCTCGTAGCAGTGCCATGGCCAGTGGGGCAATTCGTCGAACAGGTGCCGCGCGGGCAGTTTTGTCCTTGCTAGCTGCTGTTCGCTTGTGTCATGAGCCCTGCTTTTTTTTTGACGAACTAACGATATTTTTCTTCCACTGTAAATTAGCGAACGGTATTTTTAGCCTGGCTTGCCGTTGGCGTCAGTTTACCCCTCCACGCCACCAGCCTACCGTTGGCCTTGCCCTTTGGGAAAAAAGAAGTAAAGAGTTCTCCGAGATCTGGCTTCTCAGTCTCCACAGCCCTCTCGTTTTCTCCGAGATCTTGCCGATCTGCACCGACGCCGCGGCCCGCGGCCATGGCGGTGCCCTTTCCTTCTCCCACCCCGCGGTCCCCGCGCCGACCGGATGCCATTGTGGCCCCGGACCCCTCGTCCGCTGACGTGCCACCATCCCTCGACTTCGGCGACCCGGCCTCCCTCGCCGCGCTCCGCGTCCTCACCGACGCGGGTGCCGCCACCCGCCTCCTCCACGAGTGCGTGGCCTACCAGCGCGCGCTCGACGCCCGTCTCGACGCTCTCCTCGCCCGCCGCGCCGACCTCGACCGCGCCGCTGCTTCGCTCCTCCGCTCCGCCCCGCCGCTGCTCTCGCTCGCGGCCTCCGACGCGGCCGCGCTTAAGGAGTCCTCCTCCTCCACCGCGGCGCTGGCCGACGCGCTCTCATCCCGCGTCCGCCACCTCGACGCGGCGCACTCCAGGGCGGACGCCGCGCTGGCGCGCGCCGAGGCCGCGCTCGACCGTTCCCGCTCGCTCGAAGCCGCGCGGCGGGCCTTGGCCGCCGACGACCTCGCCGCCGCCGCCGCCGCCGCGCATGAATTCCTCGCTATCGACGCTCGGTTCCCCACCGACGACGATCTCCGCCGCGATCTGCTTGACATCAAACGTCGCCTCGAGGGGCTGGCGCGTCGGAGGCTAGCGGCGGTCGTCGACGCACAGGACCACCCTGCGGTGCTCCGCCTCGTCCGCCTATTCCCACTGCTCGGACTTGCCGATGAAGGACTCCAGGTCTACGTCGCCTACCTGAAGAAGGTTGTCGCTCTGCGTGCCCGTGCAGACTTTGAGCACCTCGCTGAGCTGACCTCCGTGACCCAACCGACCTCTGAGCGGCCGGATTTTGTTGGCTGCCTCACTCGTCTCTTTAAGGACATTGTGCTCGCTGTTGAGGAGAATGATGCTGTGCTTCGTGAGCTCAGAGGCGATGATGGTGTTGCTTATGCCATCATTGAGCTGCAGGAGGAGTGTGATTCGCGGGGCACCCAGATCCTATGCCGTTATGCTGATTACAGGAAGCTTGCACGCCTTGCATCGGATATAAACTCCTATACAAAGAACCTCCTTTCGGTCATGGGTTCCATGGCCAGTGCTGCTGGAGGTAATGAAGGGCCTGATCCCAGGGAAATTGAGCTTTATCTTGAGGAGATTCTTGCTTTGACACAGCTTGGGGAGGACTACACTGAATTTATGGTGAATAAGATCCGCGGATTGAGAGATGTCAAGCCTGAACTTGGGCCGCGGGCGATGAAGGCCTTCCGTAATGGTAACTTTAATAAAATGGAGCAGGATCTGACTGGGTTCTATGTGATCTTTGAGGAGTTTTTCATGGTGGAGAATGTGAGGAAAGCCATACGGATTGATGAGCCCATACCAGATGGTCTCACAACGTCAATGGTGGACGATGTATTCTTTGTACTGCAGAGTTGCTGCCGCCGGGCTGCTTCCACTGCAAGCATAAACTCTGTTCTTGCTGTGCTTGGTGGGGCAACGAGCCTTCTGAGCAATGAGTATCAGGAGGCACTACAATGGAGGATGCGGGAGCCAAATTTGGGTGCAAAGCTCTTCCTTGGTGGTGTTGGGGTGCAGAAGACTGGTGAGGAGATTGCGACTGCACTAAACAACATTGACATTAGCTCTGAGTATGTTCTGAAGCTCCGTCATGAGATTGAGGAGCTCTGTGTGGAGGTGAGTCTAGTATTTTTTGACTCTATACATTTGTTTAAGCCTAAAGTGAGACATGTTTAACAATTAGGCCATCTATGCATTCCATCAAGTTCAATTTATTGCTTCTGTGCATTTCTTCAGTTATATATTGTGTTCTTAATTGCAGATTGTTTGATTTAAAATGAAGGAGCTCACAACAGTTTAGCATTCTCTGAAAATTAGTTGATAGTAATAGAGTAAATTTCAGAAACCTAAAACTTTTTTATGGCAATGATAAATCATTTGGTGTATCATATTGGTCTAGTTGCGTACACCTACATTTTTCGACAATGATCCCTGTGAGTTGGTAATGGTATCTCCCTGTGTGCTGCCGCTGCTGCCGTCATTTGATCTCTATGTATCTTATGTAATAGAGAATTTCATAACTCAAAGAATGCATTTTATTGCCTTAGTAAAATTAGTTTGGCATTGCTTAATTCTATCATGCTAATGCACATAGAAATGATTGTTTAGTCTTATGTATTTGTCAGCTGGGAAATGACAAATTGTGAGATGTAAATGCCTGAACTAGCAACTTTCTAAGTAGAACAGAATTATGATACTCACATTGATAACATTTTGTATACTGCTTTCTGGTCACTGTTGTAGGAACTGTCTTTTCAGCTTGCCATAGCAAAACCATTAAACTTAGTTCCAGATAAACAATTCTGCAAACTAAATTACTAAACTTACCATGTAGAATAAACAGTATTTATAAATGATGTGTGAAGTATTGAATGTATGATTGATGCAGCAATCTTGTCTGCGGGAACCTGTGATCTAACGAATAAAACAGCTTGCTTATTAGTCATCTTGCAAGCATAATAATGTACAAAATGTCAGTGACAAGCACGATATGCTCCGGGACCACCTTGAACTTTTATTGAGCAGTATCTAAAACAGTGCAGCAAAAATGAAACTTGTTTACGTTTATCCGAAATACTTTTTGAAAATAGATCTTGAAATGAGACAATGAATCATAGGCTTGTACCAGCATTTACTGTATGGTACACAGATATTAAATTAGTATATACAATATACATGATCTAGTCAGCAAAACATGCATGCCTGTAGGGGACTAAAACTATAAAACCATCTACAGGACTACAATAGTAACGCTTGAGCATCTTCATTTGCATCTATGATCTATTGAATAGATTCTTGAACCCTGTACCGAATTTCTATAATTATGCAATAGATTGCAGTGCCCAGGGCCTGTTTTGGAATGCAGGAATTTCACAGGAATTGGTTCAATTCACAGGAAAAAGGCAGGAATACCTGAATTTGGCTATATTGTTTAACACAGCTTTGGTTTGATGAAGTTTAGAGCAAAAGTTCACTTCTGATTTTGATTCCTCTATGTTCCTTTACATTCTCCTTTAATTTATAATGGACTAAGGGCAAGTGTCTTGGTGTGTCTTATAGGCTGTCTCTCATGTAGTGCATGTGATCTTGAGTTGACTTATCAGACAACCTGTACAATAACTTGTCTTTTGAGTTCTCGTAGTAACTCTCATTTCCTTAATTTGTGTATATAAAACAAAAGGAATGTTTTGAGTTGCATGGCAACAAGAAGTCATACAATGGTGCAGAAGCAGTCTTATAGTCCTAAATTTTTGCTTATGTGGTGGTTGTTTCACGAAACAACCTCTTTCTCTCACCTCCCTCTTCTCATCCACATCATAAAAAATCCTAGTATTGGATAACCTATAACACCATTTACGTGTATCAATGTACTTGCTCTAATGGTTCTAAGAAATCTTCTGTTGACAAAGAATCTATAGTTAGCATAACTGGAAGTCCTGAGGATCATAGGGTTTATTAGTTACAATTGGGTACGATATTTACTTGGGTGTGACTCATATGACGTAACAGTGTCATTAGTAACTAGTGAGC